AAGATCCGAGACTACGACGAGAGTATCCTCGAACTCCCGGTGCTACGTGTGTTTATGTCTGAAACGCAACCACACTGAGGAGCAATGTCAACCAAAACGACGCGCGCTCGAGCGTAAAGGCCGTCCTTCTCCAAGTGCTACATCGATGTCTTCGAATGAGGTGAACATGGTCAGCTTAGAGACTTGTCATGGTAACACCACGCGCCTACCGGATTCTTGCACGTTGAGTGTGGCACTTGAGGCATGTGGGTCGTCAATACGAACTGAAGCCTTGATCGACAGCGGGTCTACTATATCTATCATTGACATGGACACCTTATCGAGTATGTCAACTTCTCTCACAGTTGACACGGAGGATACGCCTGTCTGCAAGACGGCAGCAGGACATTCATTGAAGACCTTAGGGTCGGTCTCTCTTAATCTATCCGTCCTTGGAGCTATTTTCGTGGCTAAGTTCTACATTACGGAAGTACCTCTGATTCACCCCGTGATAATAGGACGTGACATCATGGCGCAAGGTGGTTTTACTCTCCGCTTCGATAACAACAAGGGTCGTAACTCTCGCGTGGCAGCCATTATCAGTCAAGAAGATCATGACGATGAAGATTGGCGACAACTACCATCTGGTTGGAGGTTACAGGAAATAGTATACTCCTCCAACAACTTGTACATCGTGACAGCTATCTCTGATAACAAGGCTAACCAAAAGTCTAGGTTTTACGTTGGTTTCAACCCCCTCATCATCAGTCCGGCATCTCACTCAGAGCAGCTGAGAGCGCAAAGGCCTCACAAGAAGCTCCGTGAAGCCTCGTTAGAGGCAAAGCAGGCTGCGTCGGTTATCTTCCGCCAATGGATAACTGAGGGGCGCGCCTACGGGCCATCGCATTGTCCGCGGATTTTGGAATTGTGCCTACAGTGGCTGGTACAGCACAACTTCAGACCAAATGCCATTTGCGAGATTCAATCCTACATGGATGATCTGGTGATATTCTCTCATAAGGAGGATGTTGACGTTGAACGTCAGCTCCAAGAGCTCTGTGGTAACTATGATCTCAACCTCAAGCCTACAAAGAGACAGGTCATCACGGAAGGCGACACCAAACTACTTGGTGTGATGTTTATCGATGGTGGTCGATATCTGACGATCCCCCCTGAGAAACTCGACAGCTTCAAGTTGAAAGTTCCTAGAGAGGGTTACTCATATGCGAACCTATTGGGTACTCTGGGGTCCCTTGATGAGTCTCCAGTTGTACCTGCTTGGGCGTTGGCGCTAAAACATTATGCGCAAGGTTTGGTTGCTAAAGAAAGAGCGAGCCGGTCTCTGCCATGGTCTGCGGG